ATGTCTTCGAATCTTTGGATATAGCGCTGACTTTGCTATCTTTCCTTTCTGATCTACTCTTTGTATGCGATACAATGTCGTTACGCCCTGTGCTACGCCCTTGTGCATTGCCTGATATGTCCTGCGATTCCGGTCATTTGTTCCCTCCATCTCCTTCCTTACGTTTTTGATACTGCGTCATTGATACTGCGTCTGTATTCGTACTGAAATCGTACTGAAATCGTATCATGTACGGCATTTACCGGAACTTCGGGTGCATCTGACATCTCCTTCGGATGCATCCGTGTGTGCTGACCGTTCATGCGCGCGTCAACGTTGGATGCATCTGAAACTTATGGATGCATCCTTCGGGTGGTAGAGCACCGGTGACGGATGCATCCAAACTACTGAAGTTGCTCGGCGCGCAAGAGAAAGCCTAATAATGCTGCACCAAGTTCGCCCGCGTAGAAACGCACCCGCTACGGTCGGACGTGACCGCATACCCCGACGTACACCGGCGGACGAGGCAACGCCCATGGCGGCAAGAGACATCCGCAACGCCACGGATCGCGGTGCAGTCCACCCCGATCGGCGAGAACGCGTCGAACGGCGTCATGCAACCACCACCTACACACGACGATTTCAGTCATTCGGAACGAGCTGTGCGCGAGGCATCGCGGTGTACACTTACAACTCTCGAGGTCCGCCTTGACGTCGATGCACTCCCAGGGTTCAGTAGCGCGGCCCCTCTGCTCGGTTATCCCGCACGCCGTGTAGCCCCGCTGGCACATCCTGCGCCTTTTGGACGCTCTGTTGTACGCTGCCGCGGCGCGTCGCCTAGGAATGGCGACGGAGCTCGGGCAGGACGACTGGCACTGGCCGTTGCAAATGCTGTCAGGATCCGGGCAGACGCAGTCCCCGCTCGCCGAGTCGAATCCAAACCCGTTCCCGCAGGAGTACCCACAGGCATTGAGCCCAGAGCAGACGGGGACCGCGTTGTCGGGATATGTGCAGACGCTGCCATGGGCGTTGATCTGGGGGTGCGTGCAGATGCCGGCACTGCGGTTCAGCAGGGAAGAACGAGCGGACTAGAATCTGCGACTGACCAAGCTCGTGAGCGATGCCGTCGCGACAGCAGTCCCTGCGACCGACACGAGCTTGTGATACGATGAGCGCATGTATGACTTGGGACGAGCAAGGGGCTTACCGCTTTCGCTACGGCGTTCGTTTGGAGGACGTTAGGGATAGTAGAAAGGCAAGCGCAGGTGTCTGATGTATGCGAGAGAAGACTCAACGGGTAGCAGTAGAAGACGGATACGTAAGTACTCACCGATGAGACCAACCGTGACGGTGGCTCCTGAAGACGGATGCCACTGCAGAGGTAACTCTATGAGGTTCGCGCAAACGTCGCTGGTATCCCGACGATGCAGTCCAGATAGTCGCCTCCGCGACTGAGCTCCCGCCGGTGTCGAACCCAGAGCCAAGAAAGCAAGTGTGCTGATGGTCAAGTCAAGGTGCATCTTTCCTTCACGAAGGGTGGATAGAGGCCGCTATCGGAAGGGAGCGCAAAGGGAGGCAGAGGAGGGGAAAGGGAGGGCGACCCAGGCGCCGACGTCCAAGGCGTTATTAAAGCGTACAGGAACTGGGACTGCAATGAAGTCAAACAAAACGCTGCGTCAAGGGCTGCTCTAGAAGCGGAGCAAGGCACCAGGGCATAGCTGGAAAAACAAGTGCTGATAATGGCGGATGCAATCGCAGAACGCGACCAACGAGAGGCCTACTACCAGCGCTGGGTACAACTTAGGAGGAGTCCTGGTAAGCGGGCTCAACGTTGTCACTAGGTTCAAAATATGCTTGAATAAATCCAGAAGTGGTGAAGAACACGCATGTACCGAGTGTGTTTTCGAATCACGCACCGCGAACAAGGCATCCCGACGATAGAAATCTCGGGTATCGAAGTCTAGACATTGCGTGTAGCACAGCATGTCAGACTACTTAGTTTTCGTTCCTGGTGCTAAGGAGTGTAAGGTCTTCAGAATGCCAAGGTGGCAGCGACTAAGTAAGTAGTCGACAGCGCCACTCGTACATAGGCTGCGAGGGAAGAACATTTGTGGCTCCGAAGTCGATCGAAGGCCCAGATTGGATTGATGCGTTGTAGACGCCCTGGAGCAATGACACATCTTAAATACGGACTCACGCTGCTCACGACCACCTGCAAAAGAGGGAGACAAGCGCAATGGAAAAGTGGTGCCTTTAGAACGTAGACACAGAATCACTGCGTTTCCGCCAAAGTCTCTAGAGGCTTGCGGACCCCTGTAGACAGAAACTTGCTTGGATTGCTCAGTGTTGGCCCAAGTAGATATTGTTTCCTGATCAAGAAATGCGAGATTTGCGTACCCCAGAGCAAGTTCAGATTTCTAGGACTTTGCTGGACATACGACAGGACATTGCGCATATAGCATGCGTGCAGCCACACCAGGTTTCCGGCGGGGTCCGGAGACTCGGCGTCTTGCTGGATCTGGCCAGGCGAGCGACTCGAAATCTCCTTGCCTGCCACTCTACGCAATCTTGTGTTGCACTCGTCTGCTTAGGGTTCTCTAGTTACTCTGTCTCTTTGGGCTAGAACTAGCTAAGTATATGATGTCTCCCCCTCAATTGTGCAGCATTCGCACTGTCTGCCTATGTCGCCATGCCCAAGGTTCAATCTCAAGCTTCTCGGGCTCCTGCTCATCCCTCCGACCTTACTGCTCGGCGATTCAGGCAACCCCGCCAACCCGCCAACCCTTCAGATAGTCTCATTCAACATCTGTTGGACTGCCCCGACGCGACCTTGGGAGGCCCATTTGAATTACGCATGGTGGTGAGTCTCTTCGTTGAGACTAAATCGGTATGTCCGCTTCCATACATGAGCTCGCGATGCTGTGAACCCACTACTGACTCTAATGTAGCATCCCGTGGAAGGTATATTTCAAGACCCCACAACTCATCGGCTCTTCATGGCTATTCTGCCCCTGGTGCCCGCGCAACCGCTCATCATCCATATGGACCGTTTCGACGGCAATGATGTGAGTGCACCTGGAGCCCCCATCTGGGCTTCAAGGATCCTCGCTCGAAGGGATGCACCCCTGCAGCTCTGCTGCTCTGGTGAATGGCTCCGCGATACCGCCTGGCGCTGGACGGGTCCTTTGCGGTCAAGCGGGCCTGTCGTCGGCCTACGGCGCTTGGCTATCGTCAAGTTTTTGGATTCCTTCTTGGTGAGCCCATCGCTACTACTGTGTGCTTTCCACCATCTTACAGCTATCAGAAAATTCATCGAATTGCAACACAAGGCATCAACATGCCTCGTCGCAAGCCTCAGCCCCGACCGACGTTGCGCAATGTTGAGCTTGTTGCGGAGACCATACCTCCTCCTCTGACTCCTCCTCCCATCACCCCATCGCCATCTCCGTCTCCTTGGGAAAATGTGGGCATTGCGTTCAGTTCGCCAAAAGTATGTGAGTAGTTCCCGAGCCCCGCCATCGTGATGGTAAGGATGATGGTCCCAACAACGCCTCTCTCCTATATATATGTTTTTCTATAATCAGTGAGCCGTCGACAACTTTCCTCCTGAAATCATTCAAGCTAATGTTCCTCGCGCTGAGGCACAACCTTGACATCTCAGTGTACATTATCCTCAATCGAACTGACTGTCATATGGTTCTGCCCCGCCACCTATCTCCAGATGGAGCCCGATGAGGTGCATCAGTGACTGCGACGACGGTCGGTGCGCACACCCATATCGGGTAAGTGCGACCATCGGTGAATGTCCAAAAATCGCGCCCTCACCCAACAGCTCTCCTTTATAGTGCTGCTCATTCCGCATCTTTGTAACGATGTAAAGTTAGATATATACTAGTACTCTAGCCATGTCCCGAGAATAATACTGTATGAGCACACGAAACATGCACTTTCCGCGCGCTTAATGTGCCTAGATGAGGCGCCTCGTGCTCGCTTAATGGAAGTTGTTGCCGGATCTTACGATCGTCGGGACAACAAGTTGCAAGTAAATCAAGGCACACCAATGCAATATTGCGGACGTGGCATAGTCTCGTGACCAGACGTTCGGAGCTTTGAGCGGAAATGAAAAAAAACCGGGACTTTCCGCGCTCCTGAACGTCTGGTGGATCCACCCCCGTGACTCCCCGCTCGGTGACCTGTGTGACATACCAACGCCCCGTTAAGGTAATCCGACAAAGTCGGAGGGCGCCCTCGGTGCGCGATGCGGCTGCACGCTGTCCTAGTTACAAGCTTGCATACCTCCTGTACTGTGCACAATGGCTCGAGCTCTCGGTCAACAATCTCCTCCACGCACTCCAGGGCAAACTTCTCGAGAGCCTTCCTAGTGCCCTGGGGCCGTATATGATGGTGTCGTGAGGAGGATGCGCGAGGGACCTTGTACCAGCGCTCGAGAATGCGGGGAAGCTCCTCGCTGCCCATAAGAGCACTCCGCTCGTACTGGACCTTAGGGTCTGAGATGCATGGGGAGATTCATATCTGGAGTCCATAAAAGCCAAAATCGACTTAACGCAGTCGACAACGCTGGTGCGCGTGCGGGAAACCGAGAACACAAGGCGCTCGCGCATGACCCGGGTGTTGTGGCGGTATATCGGCGGGATGGGAGTCTCGGGGGCAGCTTCGATCGGATTCCAGTCAGATGCGTCGGAAAGCCGGTCGCTGCTGCACTCGGACGGAGCGTAGTCTTCGTCCTCCTCCTCATCTTTGAAAAGAGCTCCCCATCTGTTGTGGAGCTCATTGGGTTCTGCCTCGGGTCCGCGAGGGTCCATAGGCACGCACTAGAAGAGTTCCTCTGTCTGCCCATATGAGAGACAGAGGATAACAGACGAATTGAGTATGGGGGACGTATAGCAACTGCTCGCGAGAGTCAGAGAGATGTACCGGTTACGGGAGTATCGACATCGAGCAGACGGTAGGCTCGGCGCAGCTCAAAGACGTCGCGAGATAAGCAGGCAGGCGCGCGCGACAAGACAGCTCGGACACGTCGGGAGAGAGGCAGGAAAGTCACACAGGTCACCGAGCGGGGAGTCACGGGGGTGGATCCACCAGACGTTCAGGAGCGCGGAAAGTCCCGGTTTTTTCATTTCCGCTCAAAGCTCCAAACGTCTGGTCACGAGACTAGACGTGGCAGATGATT